CTAGTTGTACCTCTGGTTCTTTAATGATCTTAATCATCGTAACGCAGCATGGTCTGTCCTAATGGTAAACCTTGCACCATAGAGGTAAGGGTGGAAATATGTCAGACTCTTTACAATAGCAAGGAGTTCCCTCCGTGTTACACAGTAATTCCTCTCTGGTCTACTCAAAACTCTACTGAAGTAGGCCACCACATGTTCGTTTTCGCCCACTTTCTGAGACAACACTCCTCCAATTCCGACATTACTAGCATCACAATCCAGTATGTATGGCAGTGAGGGATCTGGAAGCTTTAAAAGTGGAGCGGAGGCCAATTTTTCCTTCAACGTCTTGAAAGAACGCTGGCAAGAAACTGTCCATTCAAACTTCTGGTCTTTTTTAGTCAAATCATGTAGTGGAGCAGCTATAGTTGCAAAGTTCTTCACAAACTTCCGCTAATAAGTACAGAGTCCTAAGAAACTTCTTAGCTCTCCCACATTGTCTGGTGTTGGCCAGTCACGCACTGCTTTCACCTTATCAGGATCAGTTTGCACACCATTCTCACTAGTCACGTGACCTCGATGTCGTAACAGTATATTATGTAACCAGGACGAGCAACAAACAAAAATCATGTGATTTCAGATTTGATAGCTTTTTCTTCTTCAGAGATGAAACAAGTACTAATGATGTTTTTCAAGTACGTGTTTAAAGGTGATTGATAAAAGTAATCTGCTGATATAGTTAAAACCTCTTATCTGGTATCAGACACGAATTTTATGTTAGCGCATGCGTTTTGTGAGAAACAAAGAAAACTGGAAAACTATTATAATCAACGGTCAGACTAAACAGATAAGCAACAAATATAATTGTTTATACAGTTTAGAATGGTTGTTTTACTTTGATACTAACAGTAAGTCTGTAAAGTTAGATGGTTATAAATAAAGATCGTAACAAGTAACAGGAAGACGTTTTAAATATCACCAATGTCAGCTTCAAGCAATACTACTGTCAAACCGCAAGAAAGCCGCCGTATTCTACGAATGGTATGGATACTTTCAGCTCTTCTTATCGTTTCGTGTTTTTATTATGATGGTAAACCAAATCAACAACTTGATCCTGTGACAACCGGCAAGCATGCTGATTCCTCCTCAGATCTTGGTTAGTATACTCCTAGGGGCTATATGTATTCAATGAAATATTCTACAATTGTTTTAGCTTATTTTTTCTTAACTGAAAAAAAAAATCAGAGACAAATGATTTAATATATATTATATGTTTGTTTTTAGCACAAAACTGCATTATGGGCTGTCTGCTCTCTGTCCACCGCGGGGAATAAAACCCCAAATTTGAGTAAGTCCGTACATTACCGCTTACCCATCAGGGAACAAAGGGTTTGTTTTGTTGTTAAGTATAATACGCTAGTTATCTGTGATTTGCCCACAGCAAGGATCGAGCCGCGAATTTTCGCATTATAAACTATCTATCTTATCCCTGGACCAACAGGTAGTTAAGAATTTGTGAACAATGCTTCGTATTTTTAAAGATGTATACATTCCTTCAAACACCAACAAATTCTCTTGGCGCCAAAAGAAAGGTTGATGTTAATGGTATTTAACGTCATGCTTGGAATTTCTCTAGAAGTTTTAATCATGCTTTTTTGTTTGTTCGTAGTTAAACACAAAGCTACAAAATGTATTCCTACCATAGCTATTGAAACCTGGTTTCTAGTCTTATAAGCTTTCAGATTTAGCGCTGAGTCATTGGGGGGAGGGCTTAGTTTTGTGTTTGTTTTTTACCTGTCGGTCATCAACCTCTTGTCAAACAGTTTCATGTTTTTATCAAACATTATACGCCGCAGCACAAAATAACCAGTCGAATTTTTCTTTAGTTAAAATTTAAATTTCATACGATAGCATGCTGTATTAAATTTATTTTTCTATTTAAACTACATAAAGTCCGCACTTCAAAACAAAAGACAATAAAAGATCTTTACACAGTTACATCTATTGTGTGTGAGAGTCACGTTTGCATTAATTTTGGTAAGTTGGCAACAGAAGAACTGAAGGAAAACCTTTACAGCTAAAAGTATGTATCCAAACATTCTATAATTCTGTCCATTGCCAGAACCTAAAACTTACTTATAGCATTTCAATATTACAAGGTTAACGCACCACCAGGAGGTATCAGAAATGATAACTGACCACATAAATCAACTATATTATGTGCCTGATTAAAAGTATTCAATACAAAATCAAAATGTTATATTGATGTTATTTTGCAAAATTATTCTACACAAGTAGAATTTTACCAAAGGGTGTTAGTACAATAAAATTTGTAATTTAAGGATTGCCGAATATTTCAAATTAATCGTGAAGCTGATACATATATATTGTTGAAACCCTTAATGAACTAAATCATAGAGGAATAAATAGGTATAAGTGAACAGGAGTTCGTTGTTGCTTTTTTATGATGATTTAGTGGAAGATGTGAACATTTTCACAAGAGATATTAGATAATGAAACAGTTATACATAGGAATTGGAGCACAGAGGTACCAAGGTTGGTACAGTCATCAGGATTCAAGGCCAGAAAAGGTCAGTTTTCAGAGAGGTTTGAGGGACTTTGCAGGCACTGTAACAAACCTGGGCACAAGAAAGCTCAATGCTGGAAGCTTCAACACAGGGAAGATGCCACGGCAGGAAAGGCTGCTACCCACAGAGGTTGTTGGAACTGTGGAGAGCAAGGACATATGAGGAGCCAGTGTAAGAAGAATACCATCAATAAGGCAGCTTCGAGAAACCAGTAGTGGTTGGTGCTGAGGAACGCTCACCAACCCTCATCGTGAAAGTCCCAACAGCTAAGTGTAAAATGGCAAGCACACATAGTGTCTAGGTGACAGGAAAGCTGGATGGCTAAATGTGCAACTTTGTCATAGATTCTGCATCTCAGCAAACCTTTGTGAATATCAAGGTGCTGGATCACAAAGGAGTACCAGAAGCCATACAGAAGCTCTGTGGTGTGACAGAACATTCTGCAAGATTGTGGGGACCAGTGTGGGTAACTATTGAGCTCATGGGCATGAATAACAGACAGAAAGTACACTTGGCTGACATTGAAGACCAATGCATATTAAGATTGGACTATTTACTACCGAGAAAGTGTGTAGTTAACTTCGATAATATGACGATAGGAAACAACAAAAGCCAAATTCCAGTAAGTGATGCTGCATCTGTTGATTTGCATGTAACAGCACTTAAGTCAACTACAATACCCCCTATGTCAGAGAAGATAATTTGGGGTAGAATAAAAGAACATCCCCAAGAAAGCCCAATGCTCGTGGAAGCAGTGGAAGACCCATCCAGGCCAGCAGATTTGAAGATTGGAAGGTCACTTGTGGCAGGTCATCAAATAGTACCCATAAAAATGGTCAATTTCTCTAAATGTAAGCAGAC